TTAAAAGAAAATATATTATTTTTGATTCTCATTTAAAAACCATTCTATATAGGTTGCAAGAAGGATGTGAATTAAAATGCTTTAGAGTTTTTTTCATCTACTTCATTAAGAACCATTTTATTGAACTTGCACAGAGGTTATGCATTTAAGAATGTGTTTTTAATTGTGGTTGAGGTGGTGACCACAGGGCAATTATCAGTTTATTAACTGAGGAATGTACTCATCATGGACTTTGCTATTTTAGTCAATTCCTTAAACTTGCATATAATATTTTACTTTCATAATATCAATTTAAGTCAGTGAAATATCATGTTTTATGGTGAGATCTAGTTTTATAGTTAGAATAATGGTTTGATGATTGTTATTGTTAAATAGTGATTATGTAGTTATATGCTGATATATTTACTTAAAGAATTAAAAAACAAATCTCTAAGATAATAATATCCTTCTTGAGTCAGTGCAAAATAAAATGATAGACTGTATATTACATAAAAAAATTAAAAGAGAAAAGCATTGTAAATTTTATAGCACTATTCCCATAGTGTTATTTTTAGTTTTTTAATATCCATTTGACTATTCAGCAAGCTGAATACCAGGGACTTTATTTCTTTAGCATAAAGTGGTTTGGTAACAATATTTAAAGCTGTATTTTTAATTTAACATTACCTTTATAAAACTACCAAAAGACAGACCATTTTTGAACTAATTGGTCATTAGCTCCCTCAATCTCTGTCATCTTTTTATCTCTAAATAAAATTATTTTATTTACCAGGTTTCACTGTCTAGGGAGCAGGCATCTTAGTCAAGAAAGTTATTATTCTAAAGGTCCCCAAATGGTAACAGTAGTCCTGGAAGTAGACAAAACCTGTGGTTCAACCATTAGCTGCAGCTGATGTATTTGTTAGGCGTAAGTCAAACACAAACCTACCAAATGCCCTTGTAACTGCAGCAGTGAAACCACAAATGTTCCTTAAGGGCCAAATATCTATGCCCAATAGTCAACATGTGATAGGCATGCATAAAATATGAGAGTGCCTTATCTTAACAGGGTAATGTTTCTTTCATCTTTGAAGAGCATTTTTCACAAACTTTCAGAGTTGATACCTTAAAGTTGTCCCCAACTTAAGTTATAAAAGCTGTTGGCAATATGTGTTTTCTTTTTATTTAAAATATAGCAACTTCATGAAGAAAACTTCTGAGTTTGAAATGTGATTTTTTTTTTGCAAAATGAACATTCAAATGATATTATTTTACTTCTGGTCTAAACCAATGTAAAGATCAATGTAGGCCAGGCGCGGTGACTCACGCCTGTAATCCTAGCACTCTGGGAGGCCGAGGTGGGCGGATTGTTTGAGCTCAGGAGTTCAAGATGAGCCTGAGCAAGAGCGAGACCCTGTCTCTACTAAAAATAGAAAGAAATTAATTGGACAAGTAAAAATATATAGAAAAAATGAGCCGGGCATGGTGGCGCATGCCTGTAGTCCCAGCTACTCGGGAGGCTGAGGCAGAAGGATCGCTTGAGCCCAGGAGTTT